AAGAGCTGTCTCTAAGCTCCATCTAAATACCCACATAAAAACTGGTGAACTTAGGGTTTCCGCTCATTCGATGTTCAGAAACTTTTTCTGGCCAAGGTAATGCTGCCGACAAGATTGAAGGATGTACTAATTTCGCAGCCTCAAAACAAGTGAGGAAAGCCAAGCCCGCTCGCGCTGGAACCACAGCCTCGCACACTGACCACAACGATGCCCCTTTCATTTTTAACTGCTACCTGATGGTGCCGTTGTTCCGCTACCGAATATTTCTCGAATGGTGAGAGTGAGGTGACAAGAAGAAAGAGCTCGACCACTTCTCTTACTTCACCTTGTCCGTACAGGCGCGATTCATCATGGGATTTTGTATGTGGTGTATGGGGCATTTCATGCGGGTTTTCTCTGCTTTTTTCTTCAATACTGAATCATTTACTACCTTACTGAGAGCGTGTTCTAACAAGAACCCTAAATAAGAAATAAGTGTCACCTTTCGAGCTGCAATACGTTGTCGCTCTTCATCCGCCTCTGCGCGCTCCAAACTTTCTATGTCTAGCTTTTCCTGTAGCCGAGACTTCTCCTCACCGAACTGAAAAACGGTGATCGATACATTTGCTGTGAGAAATCTCGCAACTTCCCAATATCAGCATTACCTTTTCGATCTTGCGATACATATCACTGATGAATATTTCGCTTCTTCTCAATTTCTCAGAAGTAGTCTTGAGCTCTTGCTCCTTCTCTGCGATTACCATATCTTTGTTGGTTATTTCTAGCAAAGGTTTCACCTAAATACATTATTAACGGTCCTGCAAATTTGACAGCTCGGAGCAAACTACCTTCGTGAACAATCTCCACCAAAGCCATCCGCGAAGTCGGATCCAAGCCAATCCATTTCGCTGGATTACTCGAATGGCAGCAGCTTTTTCTCGACGCCGATTGAAAGTCGGAACGAGCTAACATGCCCCGACAAAGCGCCTAGAGTATAATCTTCCGTAGTAAGAGAACAAATAGAAGAGAATCATCGGAAATGGTTAATTTCCACCAACCTGGAAGCGGACAACAAGTACTCCTAGTTTCTCATCACGATCTTCTTCAAGGCCAGCAATGACACCCGTACGGAAGAACACTTTCGATTGACCTATCCGGTACAGAGATGGCTGTACATCGATTGCCTCAAGGATTCGGCTGCAAAACGACTTTCATAAAAATTGTACATTTTAACCACATTGGCTGTTTCTTGGAAGCAGTCAGAGGACCACTGACCGAACAGCTTCTTTCCCATCCATAAAACCATGAGGGATTGCATGTGGTGCAAGTAGCCTTTCGTAACGTTGACGGAATTCCTGCAAATGGAAGTGCAGCTTGGGAACTGCAAAGAAAATCTGGCGCTGAGCAGTTCGAAAGAGGAGGGGCACGCGGTGTGTCTGCTTCTTTCATCTACCTGGAAAGTAATCCTGTTTGGAAATCCTTGACGACATATCCTGATTCCTTCGAGAACTCCATTGCATCTTAATTGATCTAGGACAAGGTGAGCGTTCAAAACACCATGCTGAAAAGTATATTCATTAATTTGTGTGCCTTCATTCGGTAAAGCACTATATATCAGGTAATTATACTTAAAGTTGGGCACTTACACGTTTCTCATGATTGGGAATGATGCACCGAACAAAATGAGGATTCGTATTGTTTAGTGTTGTCATAAGACGAGTGAGCTGCTCTTTATGCATTTGTGACACCGTTCGGAACATTCCTTTTTTGACACGTGCACCGAATACAGCTCCTGCCTCTCCAACTTCCGTCGCTGCCATGCAGCACATGTCGCTCACTAAAGGTTTTTGTCAGATTTCTGGTCAGTAAGCTGCTATCCATATCTGGCCGTTAGAGGAAAGGTTCCCCTAGACTTGGATGGGAGACAGACGCCGCTTCAGAGAGGATACAGCTCGTGGCTAATGATGCAGCGAGTCGAAGGATGGTTTTGGCGCGCTGCCAAACCCGTATCTTACCAGTTGCTGAAGCGAGCAAGGGACGAAACTATAATATCGATCATGTCAGTCTATTTCTACCTGATGTTGTCGCTTACCCGCTTCAACATCTAGTGGAGCATGTGCTGGCGGAGCGCCAAACCCTTCCTCACCGACACCCCCATCATCCGCAGCGAACCATACTGTATACAGATCCTGTGAAACGAGAGCAAAGAGGGCGCAAGAAAACATACTATGGACCTCTCCCCTCCCTCTGCCTGAAGCTGCAGCCGCCACGCTCACAACCAATTTCATGAACACTCCCTCTCAAAAGCTGAGATATGGAATCTAACTCTCGCGAGTAGAGTGAACATCCTGGGCACGATAGAATATTGACGTACCATCTTTCCATATATCACAAACAAGCGAATCTTTGCTGAGCTGTAGAAGTTCAACGACGTTTTCGTTCAAAGGATCCATGTTCTTGACACGCCAGCCTTGTGCCTGATAGTCAACTCGACCAGCGTAATGCACTATAGCGAAGTCACTCCTAAAACAACGTAGGAAGAGAACTTTCTTGGATTCCACTCAAAAAAACTCACTTGGAGCGCATTTCTGGCACAAGATATTTCGAATGATTATGATGTTGAGCTGCAAGCCTTTCAACAAATCCGGCATCATTTCCTTGTGGGAAAAGGCAAATGTCATCGAGAGTGGATAGAATACCCATGGGCTGTAAGGTGAAATATTAATCAGGAAAAATATTGTCTGACCACAACAGTAGTTTTTTGAAATCACTTTAAAGGAATATGGCCACTCCTCAAAGGCTGTGGGCACGAGCTGGAGGCGGTTGGTGTTGCTAGGGTTATTGGTAGAAGGGCTGCGAGAGGACGTTCGGCTACACTCCAGTCAGCCTTTCCACCGACGACATTAGCGACAACCGCTCGCCCCGCCATCGTGCCGACTGCCTTTGAGAAAAAATGCTCCCCTCCCTAATTACCCCTATAAGACTCCCATGCCTACTGTTTATTCAACCATAGTGTATGCTGTTCGCAACTGAATACAACGAAGGACCCCGAATATGAGAAGAAATGAAAGAAACAGAAGTCACCTTTTCAATAAGATCGATAGTGGGCTTCAAATTAAGACCGAAATCAATCATATCCCATTCGAGGCCCTCGTTGAGGTACTCTTGCTGCTCCTTCTCGAACATCGTATTGTTGAACAACTGCTGTAGTTTCTCGTTGGTGTAGTTGATACAGAGCTGCTCGAAAGAGTTCATCTCGAAAATTTCGAAGCTAAATCACATACATTGACGAGAAGGCCCTATCGTGTGGAGTGGAAAGAATGCTCATTACCCTGCAATATCGAGAATTCCCACGAAGGAAACAGCATGTTGGCGTGTTCGGTCTAAAGATCTATTTAGGCGCTGAACCAGCCATCTGCAACTAGTTATTTCCACAAACTCATATAGGCAGCCAGACTAGTGAGAACATCTTAAAACCCACCTGAACAATCGCTCATAACTTGCCTTTGATATAGCACCAACAGAAAATCTTGCCTGCTCTTCGTTTTGGCTTCGATGAACGTACTCACGACCCACCTATAAAGTCACTTTGACAAAAGTCATCCTGTACCTGACACGGAGGGTCTCTAACCCATAATCCTCACGAAACTTACCTTTATCTTTGGTTTGAGAAAAGCTTTCATAACTTCAGCAAGGTTTAGCCCCAAAAGTGTGCATATCTTATGAGCAACTCCATCATTCTGGAGCACAGCTTGGTCCGAGTTCTTTCCCTCATGGGAAAATTGAAGGTTTCCGAACAGAAGTACAGCAGAAACGATTCGTAAAATTGCTGAATTCAAGAATAATATTAATTGAAGGACGCTATACAATAGTGACAAAATCTCGCACCTTGAATCTCGTCCTCTTGAAACCCAACGATTTTCATCGCTCGCATAGTCTCTTCAAATTCTCCAGCATCTTCAACACCCGGTATGCATATATCGCCGTTGGAGAGGAAATTATAGTTATTTGGACTTTGCTCAAGCAGAAGCGCACCTAAATGCATATTTTTTGAGTGTTACGAATGAAAATTTCGAGGAAAAAGCAAAGGCGCTTACCACGTTGATCGATAGTAGCTCCTTTGAGAAGTTGATAAAAGATATGAAAACAACGTTCGTCAGCAGATTGTCTGAGGATGCGAGACTTCTCCAAGAGGTAGAACTCGATATTAGCTCCTGAGATCGCGCCAGCCGCGTCGAAATGAACTCTGATGAATTTCCCCTTAAAAGTCCAAAACCATCCACAATTTCGTATAACATACAGAACACACAACTTCTTCGAGAGGAAATCTAGCGGCTCCTAAAACGCATATGAACGAGTGGGTTTCTGCGTTGGCCGTCTAGAAGAATAAGACCTTTCACACATTACTGTGAAGGACTTTGCAACAGGGCCAGCGGCTGTGAAATGATCACTGTAGGAAGAACAGGGTACATCATTGGTTGGAGTTTTTAGTCGAGTCCGTACGACCCCTCCCCTCTTTTGGGGGAGGGAGTTTGGTACTCCCCCAAGGAAGAGGGGGAGGGGTCGTACGGACTCGACTAAAAACTCCAACCAATGATGTACCCTGTTCTTCCTACAGTGATCATTTCACAGCCGCTGGCCCTGTTGCAAAGTCCTTCACAGTAATGTGTGAAAGGTCTTATTCTT